AGGGTGAAGCTGACTGTGTGAACAAAACAAAATTAGAGTACCGCATATGATGCCGTGTGTCTCATAAATTGTAATTAAATCATAATGCAAACCCATAACGCCGCTTCCCTTTCGAAATGGTTTACCTACAAGTATATACATATATATATATATAATATATATGTATATATACATATAAATATATGTACACATATATATGCTACATATGTATACATATATATATATATATATATACATATATTCCCTACCCTCCAGGCACTTAGCATTTCAGAGCAAATAAAGCGAAAAGCATAGAATATCAAATTTTTTATTGAAAAGTAGAATTTTATTTTTTAACTCACTGCTCGCGGACATTATAGCATAATTCAATTGACGTTCTGGAACTGAATTATTTTCATAGAGCGAGAGCGAGGGAGAGAGAGAGAGAGAGACAGAAAAAAAACTGACCTAAAACAAATATTTTTTTCCCCGAGGTAAACTCGGAAACTCACATCAATGCAGGAAAAGCATTTCACGGGTCATTTTGCATTTGTTGCATATTCATTTTAAACTTCAGATGCGCGCCCCTTCTGAGTATATTCAAGAATTCCAAAAATATACGACTTGACTTGAGCTTTAATACACGGAACAAAATGGTCCATATTCAACGACAGTGATTTTAAACAATTTTATGGTGATTGATTTGATTTGTTATATTTATAGAATTGAATTAATTCCCAATAGCACACGACATTTATTTCATTCACATTTTTTTGTTTAAGTTTTGCAGTATTATACTTTATGAAAATGAAATTAATTTTTGAAGCTGTGTTTTTTAATTAAAAGGGCAAATATATATATAATTAAATAAATTTAAATTAAATTAAATAAATAAAAATTAATTAAATATTGTTGTTGATAGTATACACTGAGAAAAAAGGTTTGAGCTAACAACCAAATATTTCATTTAATATATGTGCAACTAAAATTTTTTGGTTGACACAAGTAAACTTTAGTTGACATCAACCAAAGTTTGGTTGAGACTACCAAATTCTTTTTCATTTTCTTATTTAGTCGTCTGAAACAAACTTTGGTTGTTGTCAACTAAAGTTTAGTTGTGTCAACCAAAAAATTTTAGTTGAACATATATTGAATGAAATATTTGGTTGTCAGCTCAAACCTTTTTTCTCAGTGTGCACTTCAAAAAAGGATATATCTTTTTTTAAGACACATTATGGTGTCTTAAATTTTGGCCAATGATGAGAAGAGCCTTAGTTATTTTTCTAATCAATGAAACAAATCAAGAAAATTTTAAGACATTTTCTATGTTACCTATGGTCTTAAAAAAAAAAGAAGACACTCGTTCTTTTTGGCTGAAAATAAGTTTAAACTAATTCTTGGGCTTAAAATCATTTATTTATTCACTGCCACTGCAAAAACGAGTGTCTTATTTCAAAATATAAGACACTTAATAAACGTATTAAAATTGTCTCGACTTATTTTATTGCTTGGAAAAATATCTAAGACGTTTAATTGGCCAAAATTTTAGACACCATAAAATGTCTTGAAAATCAGAAAAATAATGTCTTAAGGAGGGTGGTGGGTCAACATAACCTCAAAAACCTGTAAAAATTAAAAAATTGTTTTTAACGCAAACAAAAATATAATAAATATTAATTTCAAACAATTTTAGAAGATCTAGATTTACTCTTTTTCGAAAAAAATTATTTTTTCCCAAAATATTTTGTTAATAATTATTTTTTTAACATTTAGTTTTTTTTTTCTTTTAAATCAGACAAAAATTGCAATTTTTAACCAATTTTTATAAACAAAAGCTCATTTTACTAAGTGAAACATTCTCTACAATTGTTACCTTTTTTATATTGTAATAATACATATTGTATAATACATATAAAAAAGGTAACAATTGTAGAGAATGTTTCACTTAGTAAAATGTGCTTTTGTTTATAAAAATTGGTTAAAAATTGCAATTTTTGTCTGATTTAAAAGAAGAAAAAAACTAAATGTTAAAAAAATAATCATTGACAAAATATTTTGGAAAAAATAAATTTTCAAAAAAGAGTAAATCTAGATCTTCTAAAATTGTTCGAAATTAATATTTATTATATTTTTTTGTTAGCGTTAAAAACAATTTTTTAGTTTTGACAGGTTTTTGAGGTTATGTTGACCCGCCACCCTCCTTAAAATAAGGACATCTTTTTTTGCAAAAGGAAGTCTTAAAAGTGCAAAAAACGTCTTGTTTTGAGACATTTTTAACTCTTTTGGTATAAAAATATTCTCTTCCAATATTGTAAAATAATTACAATATTGAGAATATTTGAAGAATTTAATTTTATTAAGGATATAAAGATTATTATTGAATAAAGATTATTCGATTTATAGGATTATTGAAGATTTATATAAGATTAATATACAATATATATATATATATATATATATATAGGCTTATTTGAAGATTAGATAACACTCATACATATAATTTAAAGATTGGATGCATCCAATCATGATTCTTTTATAACGCTTAGTGGTGAAAGTTATAACCGTAGATAGAAAAAAAAAAAAAAAAAAAAAGTTCTTGGTCACATTGAAATTCACCGAGTAATCAGCTTATCCCTTGATTGATTGGACTTTAGTTTAACGTCGGATCGATCCATCACTGATGTGTCAAACAAAATGCACTAATAACCAGGATAATGAAATACACGCATGAAAAAGATCAATACCCTTTGATCATCATTTTCAAAATGTAAAGAGCTTTAAACAATTCAATAAAGTAATTTCATATCTTTTATGTATTATGCGTGCACTATTGTGTATTTTTTAATTTTATAAAATAATAATTTTACTCTCTAAATCTGAATTAGTAAAAATGTTTACTAATTTAAATTAGTAACTCATCACTTTTTTCTTTAGAATTAGTTAAATTTTACTAATTATTAGTAAAAGTTACTAATGATTAGTAAAATTTTACTAATTCAAAAGCAAAAAGTGAGTCACTAATTCAAATTAGTAAACATTTTTACTAATTCAGATTTAGAGAGTACATTAAATTATCTAATTTACAATTTTTTTTCCCCATTTAAATATGAGTTATTTTAAGGGTTTTTTGAACACTATTAAGAATCTGTGATTGGAATTTAAAAATTCAAAATAAAAAATCCAATATCGAGAACAAATATTTGACTTTAACATAACATAAAAATGTTATTGATTTTCTTTCATAATTTGAAAAGTATTCAGTTTATTTGATATTTATTTATTTACTTTTTTAATTAATTATTATTTAGTAATTATTATTTATTATTTATTATTTATTATTTATTATTTATTATTTATTATTTATTATTATAGTACAAATAAATCTTATTTTATTATTACAATTTTTAATAATTACTTAAAAATAGAAAACAAGTAACAAATTTAAATATTTAATTTGAATATTTCGTAATTAGGAATACATTAATTAATTTGAAAATTGAATTTCCAAATTTCTGAAATTAGGTCAAAAATTTAAAATTAACTTTTAAAGCTTTTCAATTATTATTTACAAAATTTAATGATAGATCGTACCAAGCGTTTAAATCCTGTCTGTATAGGACGCATTAAATATTCGTGAGTCAAAGATATTTCAAGTAATTTATTCATACATTCTTTATAAAGCTTTTTATATTTTATTTATATATAAAAGTTATTTTAAGAAATATTGAAGCAAACTATAAAAATGAAATTAAATTAAAAATTTTCATTTCATTTTATATTTTCTAAATTTTTCATATTTTTTTTTATATATATATATAAATCTCCAATAATCATATAGAATCTTTTTGCATATATACAAAAAATTGTAAATTTCTAAACCAATAATTATTTTTTCCAAATATACCAATTTCTAAAAATATATATATAACCAATAATTTTTTAAAAATTGCAATATGCATTTTCAAGAAAAGAACGACATACCGAGAACTTTCTGCATTTATCGAGTATGCAAATTAGAATTAAGAGCTTCGGCTATTTTATCAGTTTGAGCTGAATGATTTAGTAAATTCAATTTGTCAATGATTTACATGCTCATTCTCGTAAATCAATTATAATCCGAGAAAATTAAATGACGCAATTGGAAAATTTTCAGTTATCAATAATGAGAGAATATTTCATATTCCTAATATTTCTCTAAAAAAAAAAAAAATAATCATTCAATATTCCAAGAATATTTTTTGTCCAAAAAATTTGTGTTAAAACAAAAAACAAACAACTTTTTATTTTCAAAGAAAAACTATCCAGAATGTTTTTACAAATATATAACACTTGATAAAAAAAAGAGAAAAAAAACAGTAATAAAAGTTATAATGAAAAAAGTTCAAATCGCTTTGAAATTTATAAAAATGTTCCCTATATGAAACGAGAAATAAGTTTGTTCATTTAAACGTCAAATATTTATTTCATTTTAAACAAACAGTTATTTCAATTTCGTATACCTATATGTTTTTCCAATCTTTTTTGTAACAGAGAGTAAAAAAAAATTTCTCACTGAAAAATATGAGTTTTCAAATACATACATGAATCGATAAAATGATGATTGATATTTCAAATAAAAAGAATAAAAAAAAATAATTCAAAATCTTGTAAATGATTCATTTTTATCTATACTTTATAAAGTAAATCAAACTAGAATAGAGAAAATCCTTCGAAACGCTTAATCATGAATGTTAAATAGTCGCATGTCTAGAGGAGCATAAAATGAATATAAATATATGTAATTAAAGCGTGTCAAAGTGCAAATAAAATATAACAGAAATCAATAATTTTTTTATTTTTTACACACATTTATGGAAATTATTTGTGTGTGAAAAAAAAAATTGGTATAATGCACAAATATGTAAACTCTTGATGAGATGGAAGATGAAAATAAACAAAGTTTTCATAATATTCAATTTTAAGTCAAGAGTCCAGTTGGTTTGTGGATTTCCACTTTTATTTAGCAGAAAAGAAGAGGAGAGCGTGCGGTGTGATGATGACACCGGTTGTACTCACTTCAACGTGAATCGACGTTGTGTTAATATGTTCGTCTTCACGCCAGTGATTTTATTTTTCATAACATTCAGTTATGCTAACACTTTAGAATATTTTGCAAAATGCTGTGAAAATGGATTTATTTTAAATAATTTTATGAAATGTGAAATTTCACCAAATAATGATAATCTGACAACAATTATGGATATTTCTTATGGAATTATTGACATGAATTTCACATGCTCCACACGTAAGTGGTTTGCTTTCAATCATTTCATTTTTTTTCTCATCTCGTTTGAGCGAGCAAAAATTTTATTTTTTAAAGGGAACAAAAAAACAACATTTATGTTAATTTCATGCATATATTTAAAATGCATGGTGTATTATACTTGATAATTTTATTGTGTATAAGATTATTAAAAAAATATGACTGAAGTCTTTAAACTAAAAAAAAAATGACATTCCGATTTAATTAATAATTTAAAAAAAAATAATAAAGGGGTAAAAATAGAGTAATTTTGAAAAAAATGAAAAAAGTAATAATAATAATAAAAAAAATTTTTTTGCGAAACATTCTCTTTTTATTGAATATTGAAATATTCTTTGGAATAATGAATGATCATTTTTATTTGAAATAATTGAAATATAGAATATTCTAGGTTTGTTTAAAATATCAAAAATTCCTTGTAGAATTTTTTCAGGAATTTTTTTTCTGCAAATATTCGATGCAAATGCAAATACATTATAAACTCGAAATATTGTATTATAATAAAAATTATTACACCCAGAGAAACGACATATTTATCTTAGAGCCAAATAAATTTTTATTGGTTTTAAATAAATTTTATTTGGTTTAAATGAAAATTTTATTTCTTTCAAATAAATTTTATTTGCGCTAAGTAAAATTTTATTTGTGCTAAATAAATTTTTTTTTTAAAACAAATAAAAAGTTATTAAGAGATAAATATATTTTTATTTGAGACAAATAAATATTTCTGTAAAATAAATTTTATTTGCGCTAGGTAAAATTTTATTTTTGATAAATACATTTTTTTTTTGAAACTAATAAAAAGTTTTTTTTTTCAAACAAATAAAAAGTTATTGGGCTCTGAGACAAATACATTTTTAATTAAGGCAAATAAATGTTATTTAAATTATAAATTTTATTTCTTTCAAATAAATGCAAATAAACCATTTCTCTGAGTGCAAAACATTTTTTGAAGTTAAAATTTATTGTTAATTTTGACAATTTTCAGGTAATCGGCATATGCCGGTGAAAACCCTCAGACAAAACATGACATTTCGCTTAGCTCATTTATGTAGAGTAGGTGAATTTTCTGACTTTCCTTTTAATTCCAAAACCTTTTAGCCTAGATAAATTTAAACAATATAAAGCAAAACATAAATTTTGCATTTATTTGTTTTTTTAAATTTAGCTTTATTGAATTCAGTACACTGAAAAAAAATTTATTTAATTCAAGTAATCGATTAATTGATTATTATCAAATAAATAAAATAATTATTATTTCAGGGTTATCATAGAAATTTCATTTATTTTATTATTAAAATATTTAATGGCATTAATTTAAAAATTGTTTAGTAGCAATTTAATTATTTCATTTGAATATTTCGTAATTAGGAATATATAAGTTAATTGGAAAACTGAAGTTCCAAACTGTTGAAATTAGGTCAACAATTTAAAATTAATTTTTAAAGCTTTTCAATTATTTACAAGATTTAATGATAGAAGCTCTTAAATCCTGTCTCTATAGGACACATTAAATATTTGTATATGAGTGAAAGATATTTTAAGTAATTTGTTCATACATTCTTTATAAAACTTTTTATATTTCATTTGTATAAATATTTGGTTAATTGATTATTATCGATTATCGAAGAAATATTTATTTGTATTAAATAATTATCATTACAGGGTTACCACAAAAATTTTATTTTGTTTTCCCCTAATTTTCAGTCAGAATTAAAATTTTTTTCCCTGATGATATATTTCAAGAGGTTTTCAATTATAAAAAAAAAATAAGACAATAATTTTTAGAAGCAAATGGTTGAATCAATAATTTCAAAAATTATAGTATCATTTTTAAAACTTTGATATTTTTCCAGTTTCATGAAATTCCCTGATTTTTCTGACCCGTGGCAACTTTATATTAAAAGTAATTAAATGGTGTATTTGTTTCAAATAAGTACAAAAATTATTGCTCCAAATACAGTTTTCTTAAATCAATTATTTTGTTTCAAAAATTATTTATTTAAAGTAATTATTTATTTGTTAAAAGTTAAGTAAATATTTATTTGTTAATAATTAAGTAACCGATTAATTTAAATCAAATACATTTTTTTTAATGTATAATTTTTATTTAATTGCATATGAAATAATATCTTATCACATATTCAAATTTTAAAATAATATAATCATATGCAATAAAAAATATGTAATCATAAAATAAATATTTCAAAAAACTTACATTGAGGGAAGAATGGAAGATGAATGCCATACGGTACTTTATCCGTTTCAACTTCTCCTGAAACATATAAAAATAAAATAAATTTAATAATAAAATATATAAAAATATTAAAAATTTAAAAAAAAAATATAAATTTAAATTTGATAAGCTTTTTTGAAATATAACCCAAAAATTATGACGATCATTAAATATTGCATAACTTTTATTTTACAGATAACAAGAGAATAATTTCAAACACAGAACCTAAAGTACAAGTGTACATCGACATTCTGTGCGCTGATGTTGATCCCAATGGAACACTCATCATTCAAAATTGTTCCTTCATTCACAAAAGCAACAATGAGAAAATGTCTGAACATTGCAAAAGTTTATTCACCCCTATAAAATTTTGGGGTGCTTCAATTGTAGTGTTCGCCTCGTTTATTTACATTTTCCCATATTCCATCGTTGTCATTTTGTATTGCATAATGCCCGATCTTCGTAGAAAAGCATTCGACAAGGGAGTCGTGTGTTTTTGTCTATCTCAAGTTGGTACCGCCGCAACATTAGGTACATTCGGCTATTTTAATCTCTGTCACAATCAAATAATACCAATTATAATCTATTCAATTGTTGGATTAATTCTCATGTTTTTAACAATATCATCAGTTCTTTGGATGTTTATAATGTGTTTTGATGTTACATTGACAATAACACGATTTAGATGGGCACCAGCGACAAATAATTTATCTGATCAAAATCGAAAATTTCGTACATATGCAATATGGGTTTATTGCGGTAGTTTAATACCAACGAGTGTTGCAAGTTTTTTTGAATTATCACCAACGGTGGGTAAAAATTGTCCATTTAAGCCAAATTTCATTAATTTTGACGATACAAATTTTGCCGTCATTGGCTATGTCACATTTATACCGGCAATTGTATTTTTGGCAAATAATTTTCTATTTATTTACACATCATGGAGAATGTTTCAAATTCAAAAATCAACAAGTATGGCAACTGAGAATCGAGCAAAGAAAAGTTATATAACATATTTGAAATTATATTTTCTAATGGATGCACCATGGTTGACTGGTGCACTCGGTGCAATTTATCCAGATTTGTGGATTTTAAAATTATTTCGCATGGTACATCCAATTTTACTGTTAATGGCAATTTTACCAAGAAAAATGGTGGTGAATTCTTTTAAGTGTGATGGTAAAAAAATGAAAAATAATCAAAAAGAAATGAATAACGAAAATGTTAATAAAAAACAAAATCCATCGAATTCAATTAAAGTTAAAGTATAAGAAACTAAAAATTAGTTTTTTGATATTATTTTACATATTTGTAAAGCGAGAAAAACACATTAATTGACGAGTGATATATATATAATTATAAAAATAAGTATGAAATTTTTAAGACTGATGTATGTAAGTTCATGAAATGAATTTTTTTTACAAACTTTAATATCATATATCACTCCATTAAATAAAAATATTGTTTTCATTTTAAAACGTACAATATTTCATATGTATAACATTTTTTATATATTTTTTTTTTATGTTAGCCTTTTAGCTATTATTATTTTTTTTAAGTATTATTATTTTTAATTTTAAAATTTGTCTTTTGCAAATAAATAAAAATAGATATAATTAATATAATATAATTATGTATATTGTTATATTCGAAATAAAAATATTTATAATTTATAATATATGTTAAATTTCATTTTATTCCAATAAACTATTTTCATTTCTTTTTTTCGTTTTCAATTAATCGGTTATCTTTCGTTTTTGTGGGATGAGATTTCTCCTGATGGAACGTAAAAGGGTTGAAGCTGAAGTGGCCGGTAATATGGTCATAGCGTGTTCCTAATAGACTTCTAACAAGTTTATGTGTAGGTACAGATTGAAATCTCTGACAGTAAAAGTCACGTTGTCATCTGCGAATACGTAATAACGTTTCGTCTATATATTCGTACCTTATTTATTCGTAAATAAATAGAAACCAGACAAAAAGGAAAAAATATCTATTCATAAATTTTTAAATAAAGTATAGTGTTATATAAGAAAAATAACTTTTTTCATAAATGATGACATTTGCCTATAATATTTCAAATATATTAAATATTATATTATTTTATTTAATTTAAATGGTTGAAAACTTTTTCTTACAGTAGAAAAAGTAATTTTTCATTGATTTTAGGTGAAACGGGGGTGTTTTGGTCAAATTAACCCTTAGATTTTAGGGTTTTTTTTTCAAAAAGAGTGTCAAAAAAACATGCAAAAAACATTTTCCAAATGTTGAGCAATTAGCTTGAAAATCGTTGCTAGGGGGTGTTCGGGTTCGGTGATTACGAATCCGACGTTAGTTTTTCAAAATTCAAAATGGCTGATCCAATATGGCGGATGACTTTTTGAAAATCTAATATTATTAGCCTGAAAATTGTAACTCGGGGGTTTTCGGGGTCGCTGATTACGAATCCGACGTTAGTTTTTCAAAATTCAAAATGGCGGATCCAATATGGCGGAATAGTTTTTAAAAATCGTTTGAATTTGCTTGAAACTCTCTACTCGGGGGTTTTTGGTGTCGCTGAATACGAATACGAGGTCAGTTTTTTAAAATTCAAAATGGCCGATGCAACATGGCGGACAAATATTTAAAATCACTGGAAACTACTTACTTCAGACGAATATATTAAGTTTTTTCAAAATTTGTCCGCCATTTTGAATTTTGAAAAACTAACGTCGGATTCGTATTCAGCGACACCAAAAACCCCCGAGTTACAATTTTCAGGCCAATAATATTAGATTTTCAAAAAGTCATCCGCCATATTGGATCCGCCATTTTGAATTTTGAATAACTAACGTCGGATTCGTAATCAGCGACCCCGAACACCCCCTAGCAACGATTTTCAAGCTAATTGCTCAACATTTGGAAAATGTTTTTTGCATGTTTTTTGACACTCTTTTTGAAAAAAAAAAACCCTAAAATCTAAGGGTTAATTTGACCAAAACACCCCCGTTTCACCTAAAATCAATGAAAAATTACTTTTTCTACTATAAGAAAAAGTTTTCAGCCATTTAAATTAAAATCCCAAGGGGGCAAAATATAGGCCTTAGGGGCCCTCCTCCTTTCTCCAAAATGTTCTCCTCATTTTTGAGTACACATCTTCAAAAAATTGAAAATTTATTAACAAAACAAACAGACGAAAAGACAGATAAAATTGTTAAAATTAAACGATTTCCAAATTCAAAACACGAAGCCACAAAAATGGCAAAAATTATACAACAGTGAATGTAAAAAAAAAAAATTCAAAAATGCCTAACAGTAAATAACATTAAATGCCAATAAAAACGTGTATTAACATAAAAATCTCTCGATTACTGTGTCTATGTTGAGCAAATTGAATATAAATATTTAAGGAACCGTAGGATTGTTTCGCTAATAAATAACCAGACTTGAAAATAATTAATTATATATTTTACATTATATTTGAATAATAAAAGAAAACAGCCAATAAATTATGTTCCCGCATAAATAATTATTAGCGGATAATCCTTTCTGCAAGAAGAATTTTTATAGAAATTGTGAATTGATTTATCCCATTTTTTTTTGTCGATATTAGATACTTTTTTTTATGCAATTTTTGCCTTCGCTAAATTTCACAGATTTCACTTATGCGAAAATTATTATTGCCATCAGACAAAAAATTAACTTTAAATCTATTTTTCTTCTAATGATTAAATTATTTTAAAAACTAAAAATTTTCTATTATTTTTATAAAAAATATTTTTCGATTTAAAAATAATTTTTTTTTTCTCCTATTGTGTTACATTTTAATCAAGTGTAACATTATATTTCATATCCCATGGAAAAACAAGTGAATTTTTCCCTCTCGAAAAAAAAAAATATTTATTAAAAACGTTAGTAATCTAAAAATTCTTGATTCTATGGCCAATTTCAGTATAACAAATGAAATGCCGCAAAAAAAAATTTTTTTTAAAAAGAGATCCGAAATCAAATTCATTGGTATCCGCGTGCTACAAATTCCGTTTTGAGATAAATTTATTTTAACTATTTCCATTTCAAAATTGATTGAATATTGACGGGAAGCTATTTTTATGGTCTATACTCTCTAACCAGAAATAATTATTAAAAATTTAGTTTATTTGGTAAATTAACTAATTTCCAAATTAAACAATTTCTTGCCAAATTATACAATTATTGATTTTTAATATTTAAATAGGTGTAAAATAAAAAATTTTATTTTTTAGGCTCAATAAACAAGAAAATAATATCAATGAAAATCAGATTATTTTCTTTGTTCCGCTCCCCTTATTTTCTGTCTATAGATAGAAAGAGAGAGAGAGAGTTGGTACTATCGAATGAGTGAGTGAGAGAGAGAGGGGAAAGCCTCTCGTTCAACTTCAGGCAATTAAGATAAGACCGGTCATTGGCTTTTCCAATTTCCAAAGAAATTTCATTTCCCTTGCAGTAGTAGTAGCAGCAGCAGGAGTTTCGTACGAGTAAACCCATCGGTTGAATGGTAGATTTTCGGAAAAGAAGGAAGGAACTTTCCTTGAAGGAGAGTGAGAAGCAAACCGAGAAGGGGAGGGGGGATTCTGAAGAAAATGCAGAGGTTAGAGAACTGACGAATTGCCTCCCAAGATTGTAAGCACGTAAGCAAATGTAATAATGCTTTTTCGTTCTTTAGAAAAGAAGATATTCAGATTTTCCAATTTTCTCTCAATTCATTATTTTCCATTCATACAAAATTGCATTCATAAGTCCAACTAATTTTTCACATATATATATATATATATATATATAGAAAAGACAACAATGGCAAACTACTGAATTAGGTCATTTGCATAATTCAAGAATAATAATATAATGGAAAGTAATTATATATAATTACTTATAATTACTCTAGTTATTATACTTTTATGACTCTTGCAATTTTAATTTACCTTTGTCACTATGGTAAAAAATATTTCCCACAATATTCTCCAAAAGGAGTTTTTCTTTAAATATTCAGGCCTCGCGGATCAACTTTAAGGAGCAAAATAAGTTGATTTTTCAAATTTTAGTTTTTATAATTTCACAGAAAATTAAAAAGCATTAAAAAAAGCTGCAACGCTAATTATTTTAATCCAATTTTGCTTATTTTAATACCAAAATGGATTAAAATAAGCAAAATTGGATTAAAATACAATGAGAAAAAAAATTTAGTGTTTGCAACAAAATTGTTTGGTTAGACAATTTTGGTTCTTGTAACCAAATTTTGGTTGTCTGAAACAAAGTCGTAGGATTATCTTAACCAAACATTTGGTTAGGCCAACAAAATTATTTGGTTGAACATTTTTAAATTCCAACCAAAATTTGGTTACCAAATTCTTTGGTTGACTCAAACAAATAGTTTGCTTGCTTAAATACCAACAAAATTTGTTTGTTGGTCCAACCAAATTTTGGTTGCTCTAACTAAACATTTTTCTCAGTGTAATAAGGGTTGCAGCTTATTTTAATACATTATAATTTTCTGTGTTAATAAATATTTTATTTCATAAAAAGGCAAATTTTGTATTCCTTTATTTGACATTCCAAAAGAGTATTTCTATAATAAAAAATAATTTTTCTCCATTATTTTTTTTTTGTTATATTTTTTCGTTATACTATTTATGAGTTCTATATATATATATATATAGTTATTTATCTAATTTCTTATTCGGATTCTTATTTTTTAAGAATAAAATATATTTTGCTTGAATGGTGCTCGATTCGTTTGCCTGGCACTCAGCATCGACTCCGTCTTCGTAACACAATGGCGAGACAACGAACCGAAAGAATAACTCACCCAGAACACAACGTTGCCTGCATGCAAAAGCACAAAAACTGTGCTTCACAGACAACGAGAGCTTTCGTGCAAAAATTGCTATGAGTGTATGTCTTATCAAGGTTTTCCATCATGTTTGTCGAAAGCACCCGTGAATCTTTCAAAATTCATTGTCCATTTCACCATATACCATGTCAATCAAACCATAAATAATTTATAATACGTGAGCAGTAATTTTCAATAAGAAAACAAAATTTGGTTATTAAACAATTTTTTTAAATTTATTATTATTTTCCGGGCAAATTTTTTACATTCAAATTAATTAGTAAAATTAACTCGTTTTTAATAAAAAAAAAAAAAAAAAAAAAATGTAAATTCTAATTTTTTTGTATATGAAAAAAATAGATGAAAACACATCTTGACAATCTGGAAATTTATCACCGAATAAAATGTGCTAGAACTGTCAAGCGGGTGTTGAATTTTTCAAAACAACACTGACAAAAATATTATCTGTGCAAAATATGTAAACAAACTTTTTAATAATGAAGTATTATTATCTGCATCTCAAATTCGAAACTGTATGACGTGA